GGAAAGAAGGTTTATTATAAATGATTCTATTCTATATATCTAGCAACCAAGACCAGCTCCAGTGAAATATTCAAAGGGAACACCACAAGTTTTAAGGTATTTCTTGCTGTATTGAAATGCTTCTCTGAAAGATTCTTGCATTATTTCCTTGGCAGTCAGACTGATGATGTTAATGGTCTTTATATTATTCATATCTATCTAGAACTCCAACATCAGCTTTGCCAACTGGTAGCACTCCAAGACGACTTCAGGTGTGTCCTCTTGTTGTATTTATGGGCCGAATTGAATGATAAGTAAATATAATATTCTTGATTACCAAGGACACAGACCGCTAGGAAAAATCCACTGGCCCAAGAATAAACACCTTTACCTGTGGGAGTGACTTAAGAGGAATTTCCTCTTTCAATATCATAATACACTCTCTGATACTTAACAGCAATCATCTGGGCCACGGCAGAATATTTTTAAAGTTGAACCAAGATCACCGCCCAAATTCAGCCATGCCAAAAATCTTCCAGCTAAGAGGAAAACTGTTGTCAAGGTTGAACCAACTGAGAGAGGGGAGGGGAGGTACAGTGGGATGGTCGGAGACCCATCAAGAGGAGAGGATGATGAGAGTTGTGAGACAGCAATGGATATGGATTTAGGTAAGCATGGAAAAATTGTTGGTAATAGATGGTCACAAAAGATGTGTGACATTTAGCTTATCTTATGTCATGACTTATCACTAGTTCATATCCAGCGTGCAGAACAGGTTTAATTTTGGCAAGGGAGTACTCAGTATTTTCTTAACAAAAATTATGGCTGCCATCATTGATTTTAATGGCAGTGGAAGGCTGGGGAGAGAAATAAATTTGTATCAAGGGGGTGGTGGATGATCAAAAATAAGGAGTGGGAGAGGGGGAGGGGGAGGGATTAATACTGCTTTCCATCCCCCTGCCCCCTGCCCCCTGCCCCCTGTCCCCCGCCCCCACCATCCACTCAGACTCCAAATCAAACATGGTCAGTCTGATAAACAATCATGAGCTTATAGCATTAGCTCACCCTAATAAGACTCCTGCACCGCAGGCTAGTTGATATCTGATGATTGTTGTTCCAGATGATCCTATTATGGGTTGTGATGACTTTGGAGATGACGACCTTGGTGATGCAGAAGCAATCCAGGCATTAACAAATGTTGAGACAAATCCTGATGAAAAACCCACTACAAAAGTGAAGGTAGTACAAATGCTGCAATAAGTGCCTCCTCCTTAACCCCCCCTCCCTACTGAAGTTTCTAGTTACAACCCTCCCCCCCCTTCCTGGAAAATTTATTTTCCTCTTCCCCCATCTCCAGATCATGTGTACTATAGGTGGCCTTGGTTGACATATAGGCCAACAATCGACCAATATATTGGTCGACTATCCGTCGGCAATCAACCGATTATCAGTCGACAGTCGACCGACAGTTGACCGATAGTCGACTGATAGTCGACTGACAGTCGACCGCCCATCTCCCATGGTAAAATTCACCTTAGTGTTGTTATTTGTTTGAGCTTGGCAGGTCCTACATTCAGAATATTCTGACTTGTATGTAAAGGCTTCATACAGTTTGAGCAAACCTTTTAAAAAAGGCACAAATTGCATTTTGATTGTAGGTTGAAACAATTGAGAAGAAGACTGACAGGAAATGTGCTCTCCCTCAAAAGTATGTAAAGTTATTTTAAGACCAGCCTTTTGGATAAAAATCACATGGCCATTTAAAAAAAAATTATGCTTTCTTTATGATTCTTGAAATTTATCTTTTGTTTTTGATATTGTGGTATTTTTTATTTGGATTTTTTAAACATCATATTTCTTATTTCCAGATCAACAGAAATTTCTGGTGATTCAGCCTGGGAGACAATTCTCGAGAATGAAGAATCACATCAAGAGGTAATAGATACCAAATTTTTTTAAAAATTTTTTTACAAAATTTATATTCTATTTGATTCCCTATGCACAGCCATATTAGTGCTGACTATGGTAATAATAACAAGTATTATCATTGGAAAGTAAATTTGAGTCTTTACTTTTGTTTTAATACCAGGTTCTGTTGGATGTCAATGTAGATTCCTCCTCCCTCCCTCTTCAGGAATTTGAGGGTAAGTCTAGAATTAGACAGATTTGTTACCAACTCTTCCACTCTGCCATGATGACACATTTCACTCTTTAAAATCATGTAATTTATCTCATTTTGAATGTGCAATTTCAGGAGAAAAAGTCCTCAAGTTCTTCTGGTTTGATGCCTATGAAGATAGATTTAAACTGCCAGGTAAATAGATGCAGTGGTTTCAATATCACCAAGCGAACTCTACGCTCTTTTCAGTTGCTCATGATTTAAATCATTCTCTCAGGTACTGTTTACTTGTTTGGAAAAGTCTGGATTGAATCTGCAAAAACTTATGTCAGGTGAGGTATCTAATTTTCACCATATTTATGGTTCATTCTCGATCTAAGAACCTGTTACACTGAATGCTCACAAGAGAGAAAACAAGGAAGTCAGAGCAAGAGAGAAATTAAATGCGTGGACAAAGAAAAAAGCTATATTCATTTTTACACTGAGGCAAACTCCCATTTTTTTTAACCCTTTCACTTCCAAGATCTTATTAGTAATTCTCCTTGCTGTCCGCTATACAGTTGTTATGATGAAAGTTTGGAGAATTTGGCATTAGGTCAACTAATTATCCCCTAATTTATATTTTCTTCTCATCAATTGTCTGCTTGACATTTTATTGATATTGTAAGAAGGAATTCTCTCTTGGTCACTCATGGAAGTCAGAGGTTAAATGAAGTATGTGTAATTGGTATAGTCAATATACTTGAAAGGAGTAAAAAACATTGAAATTTTGTTTGTGTTAAATTTTAATTTTACTGTTATTGTTGCAGTTGTTCTGTGGCAGTCAAGAACATAGAGCGCCAGATCTTTATTCTTCCACGAGAAAAGGTTTGATAAAGAAGGTTTCTGCAGTGTGTATTTAACAACTCCTCAATGGGGGCAAAGTTAAAAATGTTGAATAATCCCCCAGACTCAGCAATATTCACTGTGCCTTGGGAAATAATTGGTATAATAGCTTAGGTGCTCTCAAATTCTACAGCAAATTCCTTTTGTTGTCAAAACCATTTATTGACAACTGTTTTGATTCCTTGTATTGAGATATCTTAATTGGCCACCTTTATGGTGGCCAATTTACGTTATCATCTTAGTTGATAATACTAAATTACCCCTTTATACTCTCTTACCAATGCAACACCACAAATTCTTTAGAAACTTTCCCTCTTTATCCTTATAAGGTGTACTGATTTCAGCAGCTTTCAATGTTTTATGTTTCGGGTATTTATCTGCTTCTTTTTTTAACCAAACAGAAACATGAAGTTGATGGCACTGTGACAAATGAACCAGTCAGTTTTCTGGATGTGTATCAGGTAAAAAACAAGAGAGGAAATTATTGACTCTCTTTTTTTGATTGCATCTTTCTAAAAGCAGTATGTAAAGTATTCAATTTCTTTTCTTTTGCAATTGTATTTTCCAGTAACTTAAAAGTAAGCTTCTATATTCTCTCTTTGCCAGGAATTCAACGAGAAGATTGCAACAAAACACAAAATTATGAAGTTCATCTCAAGGGTAAACTTAGATTTTAAATAGTGTATATCAGATACTAGAATCTGTTTAGATGCTAATGGTTGTATTTCAGATAGTTTGTTTTTTTTTCCTTAAAAGTGTTTTTATTTGTCTGTGTAGAAAGTTCAAAAAGCTTATGCTTTTGAAATTGAAGATGTCCCTGTCACATCTGAGTACATGGAGGTCAGATATTCAGTAAGTCAGAAACTTGTTTATTGGTGTCATAAACTTCAAGCAACATTATCTCATTATGTAACTGTTAGTTACTAAGTTGCTTAAATTTTAGAGAAAGGCTAGAAAGTTATCGATTAGATTAAGTAATTTGCTGATTGTTGGTACACTGGGTTAATTCAAAGTTAAACTATAAGGTTACCATTTAATCTTAATTGTTTCACTCCCAGGAGAGAATGAAAAGGAATTTACCCCAAAAATATCACTACATTCTTGAGCAGAAGAGTAATGAGAGGAAAGAAAAATATCCACTTAACCCTTTAACTCCCAAGATCTGATTGTTAATTCTCCCCTGTAGCTGTTACACATTTCCTTTTAAATTAGTTAAGAGAATTTGGTGTTAGATCAAGATAACAACTTCTACATGATAAGTTTTAGTATTCTCATTACCTGTTTGCTCAATATTGTAAGGATATTATAGGGAGAAGTTACCCCTAAATCACTTCTTAGAGTTTAAGGGTTAATGGATATTGTTTGATTTGACATCAAATTCTTAGCACTTAAATGATAGGGAATGTGTAGCTGGCAGTACAGAGAAACAAAACTTATATATTTGAGCTAGCAGTGGAGACAACAGTATCAAATTTCTCTTCTGTGCAGAGAGTACAACCCTGTCCTAGAGAGATGATTACCTAAAAATTGTCTTCATTGTTTCTCAACAGGCAGATGGCCCTCAGCTACCATGTGACTTGTCTGGACAAACATTCAGTCATGTATTTGGTACTAATACTTCCAGGTAAGGTTCACTGTGGCGTATACCTGGCTGATCTTAAGGGTGGGGTGTTTGTGGTGAAGGGGGGGGTGGGAAGACAATTGAGTGTGGGGGGGAAGGGGGCAGGTGTGTAGAGGCTTAACCCTCCCCTCCCACACACACATTGTCTAGTTAGTTTTAACCCAGAGGACAACATCATAGAGAGTGGAGAAGGTGTTACCTCGAATTTCTCAAATTCAGAAATCAAAGTATTATAGTGTAGGAAAATTTAAAAATTAGTTAGCCTTGCAGCTATGATTGATAACTTTGCAGTTTTTTCTCTTTGCGGATATTTTATGTGGCTGTTTAACTTGATTGATAATTGATTTTTTTTAGTGTTCTTTAAAAGAGATGTAAAAGTCAAGTTCATTTTCATTGCAGTCTTGAGCTTCTTTTACTGAACCGCAAGATGAAAGGACCGTGTTGGCTCAATGTCAAGTTACCGCGTGAGTACTTACAGTGATTAAAAACTAAACTCTCTCAGCTGATTCTCATACATTTCTTTTATTGTCATTTGTGAGAACTTTGCGATACTGCACGACAATATTTGTAAGAATCTATTTTCCTGTTCTTTTTTTCTTTTTAATTTTTTTAGAGCTTCCTCAACAGCCAGTCAGCTGGTGCAAAGTAGAGGTTGGTATTCTCAATGATAGAGTGCTTGCAAAAAGTATTTGAGACAATTATTAAGGTCATTATTGGCGCTTTCTTCGCCCGCGGGAAAATACGAGGCCTTCATTAACGCGAGCCTGCGAGACGTCTGCAAACGGGTCTAGTACTGATGAGTCCCGGGCCCTTGGCAAACCTCTCCCAGCTTGTCTCAAATCTTCCCGCGAACGGAGAAACGCGCGTCCTGCAGCCGTAAATTATTTTTGGGTCTTTCAGGCTGTGATCCCTAAACCTGACCTTCTTGAAGTAGCAAGTCAACAAGATCCTCCACCACCTATGGTAAGAACAGAGATAACGCAGAGTTTGTTTTTTTAAATGCCGATGTCAGGGTTTTCATCATGAAACGTGGTTGCAGGGAACTAGTGTAAAGGAACAGGGCTCAGTTATTCAAAGGAAGGATAACGCTGTCCAACGGATCAATGCGGATAAGAATAACAAAACGCATTCCGCCATCCGCTGGATATAGATTTGTCCAAAGGATAGCATTATCCATCCTTTGAATAACCGCGGCCAGGCGAGTGTCCTCCACGTCTGCATGAAAAATAACGGCTGAGCTATTAGAATTTAGCCAGAGTGTTTTCTGATCTTTTTTGTGTACTAAATGTGTTAGATTGTGTTTCAGTAGCTTCATAAGATGCTGTTTACATGAAGGATGTTTATGCTGTTTTCCTCTCCTTCTGTAGGTTGTCATGAGCCTCAGTTTTCGGACAATGTTGAACACCAAGACTCACACACACGAGGTTAGCTTCAACAGTTCATTGAAATCTTGAAATAGCATTGAAATGATCTGCCTTACAGTTGAGTCACTGTGTTTCAGTGATAGAACATCGGAGTATGGCTCGATTCCTCATGCAGACTCAGAACGTTTTCTGTGTCCCACAGTCATGACATGGCTTAAAACATCATTCTCTACGTTTTTTCATGTTTTGATTTAGATCTTAGCTGTGTCAGCTCTGGTACACCATGAAGTTTCATTAGACAAAGCTGCACCTAAACAGAAGTTTCAGTATCATTTCTGTGGTGAGTTGAGCAACCATACTTGCTTGTAACATTTAAGGATAACCTTGTTGAAAATGAAACGCCTGTGACTACTTTTTAAAATAGGCACGACTTAGATAACTCGAATACAAAGAAAATAACTTGAAAAGAAGCTGATATTAAGAAGTGGGGAAATTTTACGTGATATACATAAAGAGGTGAATTTATTTTGCAGAATAAGAGGTTAAATCCACAACCCGTTCAATTTTCACATCTATCAGATTAGGGTAACTTTTCGGGTCTACACGATTCAAGACGGCGTCATCAGATTTTTGACGCTTCCGTCCGATTTTGGGCGTCTTTGTCTGATTTTTGACGTCTCCGTCCGATCTAGGTCTTTATTCTATGGCTCAGTCTCATGGTTCCATGTCAGGTTTTCACGATTTCTTTTCATCCTGTAAACCTTAACATCAGTATGCATATTCTCCATACTGTTCTCTTTACATGTCCTAATGTGCTGACAGGGAGAATTTGTTTAACAATCAAGAGGTTCTTCAGTTGATTATCATTTCCCAAATTCTCACAACCTTAATGCTTGATTCAAGGGTGATATTGAAAGGAGAAATTAGATGCTGGTCACTCTCAGGGATTAAAGATTTAATGCATCATTCAGAAACAATCACATTTGTATATATTCTACTTTTCTGCTTTAGCTGTAAGTAAACCCAACGATCAGATGTATCCTTACGACTTCAGGGATGCTGTCAAAAAGAAGGTAAAAGTAAACACATTTGATTGTAAGACAGTAGATGTGGGGAATATATATTCTGTCGGGGGATGGTATAGTGCGGATGAACGTTTCCTCAGGGGGTCGTTCGGTAATTGGCAGGATTTGAGATATATATAAACACGACAAACAATCCGTTGGCAATTTGCACTGAATTTAGTAATTCTCTTTAATTTCTCTTCTTTATCTCATTAGCAAATAAACATGGAGATTACGACGTCAGAGAGGGCTCTTTTAGGACTGTTTATGGCCAAGATTCACAGAATTGACCCAGATGTAATTGTGGTATGCGACTTTTCCGTTTGAAGTATTTTCAGTGATGTTATACCAGCATGCAAAAAGAGAATGTATTACTGATGTTATAGCAAGGAAGTTTCAGATTTTACTAGATATTCAGCTCTAGCGCACACAAATTCCAAATTTAAATGAATATGGTCGCACCCATTTGGAATTATTAATGTCAAAGTGACTTTAACAACTCAGAGTATAGATGGAATTTCAGTAAACTGTAACAGTGTAAGGTCAGAATGATGGCGTCTAAACTTATAACTTGATGCCTGTCGTTGCAGCTTGTCGTTTAGATTGAGGAAATGTCCTCATCACTAATTCTCCCCTAATATTTTCTGTTTGTTTTTTGTCTTTTTTTTCTTAAGGGTCATGACATCTACGGGTTTGATCTTGATCTTCTGATGCATAGAATCAGTGCTTGTAAGGTGAATACTACAGCTCCGAGAATCTGCTTCCGAACAGTGCGTTAGCGATAAAAAGGATGATTCATCCCATAACTACCCTGGGGAAGAGCACTGCGTCTTATTTTTAGATAGTTGGATCTGCAAGCAGCCAAGTTGAAAGGAATTCTTTTTTCTTGTTGGGTCACAGAATCCATCTCGCTCGCGTCTGCCTATTGCCTCTGCAAAAGCGAAGCTCTTCTGCCACATTTCCAATTTCGTTCGTTTAGGTTGGCCAGATTTTGTTGTCTCTAATATCCTTGCGTATTATAGAAATATGCCCCAAAAAAAAAAAAAGTCAGTATCTTGTCATCTTGATCTCACGTTTGGTCAATAACGCATATATATATGGTTTATTTGCCTTATACAAAAGGCCAGAATTAAACTATCGTATGAAATCTTTAGTTACGCCACGAGTTTAAACGTGATGTCTGAGTCGAATAAGATTTTTTAAAATTTAAACTGAATTCAGCTAATGTATGATTTTTCTCTAGATTCCCCATTGGTCTCGCCTTGGACGGCTGAAGAGAAGCATCATGCCGAAGCTTTCTGTAAGTGTCTAGTTCTCAACTTTATGTTCAGAGCGCACAAAAAACTACTAACTTTTCTTCTTTAAATTCGAGTGATTTTCGCACAGGTGGCGACCAAGGGATTAATGTTTGAATTAGTAGGTGTGGAATGGCAATAATTTGCTGTTGCTTAACGGAAATCCCGACAAACTTCGTTTTGGGAAAGATCTCCAAAAGTTCTCGACAAATTTATTTCTGGATTTTGTCTTTTGGGGTAGCGCCTTCCAGTTAAGCGAATTACAACCAATTGAATATAGCCGTTTCAAAATTATGATACCGCTAAGTTTGTCGTTGATTTATCAGCCGCGGCAATACTGTTTATGGAAAGAACTCAAAATTAAGTTCTCAGATTCCTTTTGTATATCGTTACTCGACTTAATCTCCAACGTTTGTGACAGAATGGCGGGCCAGGCAGAGGCAACAGTCTTCTCGATCGTTCCATAACTTCTGGACGAATGGTGTGTGATGTGAAGATTTCATCAAAAGAACTCATACGATGCAAGAGTTATGATTTGACAGGTTTGCCGCCGTGACATACCAACCTCTCTATGTTAACTTTCCTATTACTAACAAAGTCGAAATTATAAAGGTTTGATTTAGGTTTTACCATAAACCAAAGAAAAGTTGCCAAATGAAAGTGCGTGGGCTTTGGTGTCCTCATTTAGGTGGTCGCAAACCAGAGTTTTATCCAAGGACTTTAAGTTAAAGCCCCTGTGCACAGCTTGATAAACTGAAACACATGAACTAAAGAACTGCTCGATAGCTTTCATTTGAATCGTTTCACCGTAGAGTTTTATCAATTTTTTCTTTGTTCCACTCTCGTGACAAGACGAAAAACATCTTTCTCAACATTCTGCTTTGTTATCATTTAAAACAAATAGATACATGTTGCCGTGGATCTGATCAGTGATAGATCACAGTTGACGTTATTATGTGGTAAGAACATCAGTGACACACTCAGCTGTGCCTCATGTGACGTCATTTTGATGTCTTCTGTGATCGATTACTGGAATCTATTTGTTAATTAGAACAAACGATACCACATGAAAGTACTGCTTAGAAGCTTTCTTTTCAGTGGTTGCACGCTTAGGTTTATACATACGTAAAAGGTCGATTCAAATATTTAAATACAACGTAAAATTGGCGCTTGTTTATTTTTCATTTTCCAGCATTATCGTGGGCTGTTCTTCAATCAAGAAGAGAAGAGATTGATCAAGATGAAATACCAAACAAATACAAGTGAGCCCCCTCTCCCCTCCCCCCCCCTCCCCTTTACGCCTCTTTTGCTTAAACATACGTCACTGCTAACTTAGATTTTGTATAACTTTTGGGCCTAGTCTTTTGCGCGCTGAACTCCAGATCAGGAGGTCTGGGTTCGAGGTCTGGGTTCAAGCTCTGGCCAGGTTATTGAGGTGTGTTCTGAAGCAAGGTTCTTTAGTGTCACAGTGTCTCTCTCCACCCAGGAGTATAAATGGGGACCAGCAGATAACACTGGGAGGTAACTTGAGAGAGATAGACTAACTTTCCATTCAGCAGGAGTAACCAAAATTTTTTTTACGCTTTATGCATCCGAAACCGGGATTAGGTTCAATAGTTTGGGCCGCATAGTTCGTGTGCAGGTTTTACATTTCACGTTTCAACTCCACATTTGATATCCTGTAAATTGAGAATTTATAAAGTTAAATTTTTTTTTTTTTCCTTTTTTTTAATTTTTTTTTATTTTCAGCTCCACGCAGGAATTGCTTCATATGTTTGAACTAACTTCGGTAGGTAACCTCCATCACCTCTCAGTTTTCGAGAATCTTTGCTCAAATCTCCTCGTTCGAAGTGAAAGACAAATTTGAAAATATACTGATCTACTCTTTTTCTGTCTACAGATGGATGCACTCTTAACTCTAAGGATCATGTATGATCTAAACGTAAGTATTTTCTACTCTTTTTTGTTACACTTCGTAAAAACGTTGTTCCCTTCAATGTTGCAAGGTTAATTTTACGTAGGTTTGTAATTCTAATTTTTTAAAATTTTTTCAAGGTTTTGCCCCTGGCTTTGCAGATAACAAACATTGCTGGAAATGTTATGGTTAGTATGTTCAGCAATCTTTGCTTCGAAAAATGATCTTTTAGATTTCGCGTTTGAATGTTTCAAATGTCATTCTTTCGAATTCAATTCTTTGGAAAATCACTGCTTTTCTCTCATCACTAGATCATCTTCAATCAAATTTCTGGGCTTTTCACGTATTTTTTAATGGAAATTACCAAAAAAGTTAACTAAGATATTCTTGTGTGATGCTTCTACAGATTAGTTTACGGAAGGTTTTTGTATTTTTAAATTGTTTCGTTCGTGAAACCATGTGTAACGGAGAGAGACCAGTGTGCCTCTGTAGCGCGCGCAACTTGAAATCGAGGCTTGCCTCACTAGAAACGTTATTATGACGTTTTTTGACTGTTTTTTTAGATTTCGTTGCGGCGTTTTCCAACCACCTCATGCGCAAAGACGCCTTAGCTACGATTTTGACGCCCAATGTTCATTTCTTTTGTGTTTAAACGCCTCAATTGACGTATGGTATTTCTAAAAACAGATGCTAAATATTTTGTTCTTCATTTTTCAGACTCGAACACTTCTTGGTGGCCGATCAGAGAGAAATGAATTTCTTTTGCTTCACGCCTTCAACGAAAAGTAAGACTTGTGAATTCTTTTTGTCGTTGCTTCCCGCAAAATGGGAAAAGGGTAGGGGGGGAGGGAGGGAGAGTTCGTCTTAACCAAGATTTCACCCGTCAGTTTTTTTTCCTTTTTTCCTGGGCCACGTATACAAACATCATATTGGCTGTTTTTCAGCTGCGCGTAGGTTGGAAAACTCAACGCGTCGATAGTTATTTCTAAATAACTGTTTCGCTGCTTTGGGGGGCAAGTGAAACTCTTTGTTGGTTATCAACCATAAATTGATCAAGGCAAGAAAACCGTTGCAAATTTTGATGTAGGTGTTAGCTTCCGCAACAGCAAAGTAAGAGCGAAGAGCTATAGTTTGAACCATCACCTTTCAGGAAAAAAAAAAAGCAGACAATTTCTTGTTTCTTTTTGCACCCTTTAACTTACGTTTTACACCTGCTTTGTCCTTCCTTTAACAGAAATATAATTCTCTCTATTACTAAATTTTCATTATTTTTAACAGTGACCGTAATATTTTATTTTATTCAGGAATTTTATCTGCCCAGATAAAAGTTATGGCAAGAAACAAGTGGTATAAATATTTTTGTTCTAACTTGCTTGCTCGAGGTTTCTCTTTTCTTCTCTCGATATTTCTTTCCTTCAGCTATTTTTCATCAATTTATCACAATACATTTGAGTTTACTCCTTAAATTACACTTGTTGATAGCGTGGTGTGTTTTGAACAATTTTATTTAAAGCAATTTTCAATTGGAAGTCGAAAGTAACCCGGGATTGCATTGGTTTTGCTTTACTTTGCTCTGTGATTGGTCCTCACGCTAATCTCTCAACCAATCACATGTAAAACTTAAACCAATCACGATTTGATCGCGTGCGTTTTGCCGCGCTTACAGGGTAATTTCCTTTCTTCTGATTCAGCTTTACAATTGATTGGTTTTGTTTTTACGGCACTTAATCGAAAAGCACTCTAAAGAGACTAGATTTCCGGGCAAGTTTCCAAAGTACAATCTCTGGAACTCGATGGGAGGAACTTTTTTTTTCCATGTCTCGTGTTTCTGTCAATGGTTTAACTTCTTAAAAGTTTCTTGTTATCCTCGTTCTCAGGTCGAGGCAGACCACGATGAAGACGAACAACCTTCGACTTCCAAGAAAGGACGAAGAAAACCAGCGTATGCCGGGGGACTGGTGTTGGAGCCTAAGAAAGGTATCTAATCTTTTTTACTCCGCACCGTGTTTGGTCTAGGATGCAAAACCAAACCGATGGCGCCGTAGTCACTCAGGTTTTCCCGCGCTTCGGGCCGGTTTGCTCGTTTTTACATCGAGTTCTCATTGGCTATTTTTACAGCTTTCTTCACTTTGATTGGCTGTTGTGATAACTATAGTTTTGATTATACGGCACTTTACGAAACATACTTTATTTCGACTTTTCTCTTAGGTTTCTACGACAAACATATCTTGCTGCTGGATTTCAACAGTTTATACCCGTCCATTATACAGGAATACAACATTTGCTTTACTACAATCAACAGAACAAGCTCCAACTCTAAGGGGGTAAGTTGAATTTAATATAATCGCGTCATCTTCATTTATAGAATTATGCCTACAAAATAAAACTCACTAACAAGGAAGAGGATAATCTTTTTGAATTTTTGCTTAATCAAGTGTTTCGTTGAACTCTCTATCTTTCAGTCAATTATTTTTCTTGTTATTTTTCAGAATTAACTTAATCCGGACCATAGCACTTTACTTACAATTAAATTTATATAAAAGATGTTCCTTATTCTTATTTTATCAGCTAGCCGAAGAAGAGGAAATGGTTGAGTTACCTGATCCTGAATTAGAACCTGGCATTCTGCCTACGGAGATCAGGAAATTGGTGGAACGAAGAAAACAGGTTTGTTCCTGTCTTAGGCTGGTTGGTGACGACTGTAAGAGCATGCGCATGCCACGTTTTACACAAAGTATTTTAATTGCTTACCAAAAGTATTCACTTTTCTTACTAGGTGAAGGGAATGATGAAAAACTGCGCTCGTGATTCAGATCAGTACCTGCAGGTTAGTAATGTATATTAAGAGAAATTTTCGAAAGTAACCCGAGGTTCGCATGGATGTCACATTACTTCTTTCCTTTTCTGAAATTCTCTGTGATTGGCCCATAATCCCTCAAGGAAATGTACTTTAATTCAGCCGGTTCGCCCGGAAGTTGGGCCCTTATCGCATCACGGACAAAAACCTTTAGAATTTCAACCAATTTTTTTTAAATACCCCTTTTAAACCCATGATGTGAGGACATAAAACGATGTAAAGAGATGTATTTTTTTAAAATTATTCATTGTTGTATGTTTTTTCTTTTCAGTATGATATAAGACAAAAGGCCTTAAAGCTTACTGCAAACAGGTAGGTTTATCATACTCGTCTTCCGTAGTCGCTTCACTCAGGGAAACACAGCAGACAAAAACGATAGGCATGCGCAAGTGAATCAATTTTATCCAGCAGTGCGTCAATTTCCCGCCCAAAATTTCATAAGAAAACATAAGAGACAACCACTTCCACGCCAAAGATACGAAACGATGGAATTGTTCGTAGAAATCTGCAGAATGAAGCAAATGTAGGATAAAGGATAACTGGGTACTTTACGAACACAAAGTTTATTTAATTACGGGTATTCTGTCAGTTGATTTCCATTTTGTTTTGAGCTTAGAAAAAAAGTTATTCGCTTTTAATTAAGAAAGCTTTACTAGTTTGGTAATGTTATTTAGCCTGAGATGACTTTGTCGGGCCGCCTATGAAGACACTTCGGGAAGAAATATGGCAAGCTCTTTAGTCACGTTACAGTCACGCATTGCTTTCACATCTGGAGTTGTGTTGGCTTGTTCAGAGCATCTCGGCACTAATTTGGGGCTTGTTGGTTTTCTTTCTATTGTAGCATGTATGGCTGCTTAGGATTCTCCCATTCAAGATTTTATGCCAAGCCACTGGCTGCCCTGGTTACGAGCAAAGGCCGAGAGGTATGTACTATGATATTATGACAGCGTGACAGTGCGATAGCATGACGGCATGACGGCAGCGTGACGACAAGATGATTATGACAACACGGCGCTAAAGCGTCACAGCGTGACAGCATGATAGCGTCACAGCGCGATAACATGGCAGCTTGTCAATGCGATAACATGGCAGTTTTCCACCTGTTTCGATTTTAAACATTCCGTTTCCCGGAAATATTTCTGGAAGACCTCATCGAAATCTTATCGCCAGTTTTCCAAAGCCATAGCATTTAGTGGTAGTAATCTTTTCGGCTGCAAACCACAAGCGTAGGAGTGTTTTTGACTGAGACTTCTTATCTCTCTAAAGTTACTCTCTTTCTCGTCATGGAAAGAAATATCTGGTCGCATTTCCGACACCAGGCGGTACACTTCTGATTTAACCAACTGTTAAAGAAATCACAGCATTTGCCGAACCATAACGCTGCGTCCAAATCTCCAGATGGAAAAATCACACTCGGTGGAATTGCATGCAAATAAATTGGTTTTATTTTCACGTCTTTTTTTTGTAGAATATTAAAAGGGAATGATAAAGATAATGATGTGCATTCGAGATAGCCATAATTCAGCAAAAAAAAAAATTGGAAAAGCCTTTGATTGCAGTTTTATTTCCCAATAAACCCACAATGACAAATTTTGGCTTCAATTTGTTTTGTTTTTCAAAAGGAAACCCATGAGATGCTTATCATTATTTATTTATGAGGTTCGTATGGCCATTTCTGTGGAAATCGCAACAGATGTTTTAAGTTCATCAACTAAACGTTGTGGTTGACAATTAAATTCCAAAAATAATTTTTACTCGCTACGGGTGAATTTCGGAATTACTTTGCGCCTCCGCTAGACAGACGTTTATAAGACAAAACGAATTCGAAATTGCTTCAACTCTAAACTTGCTAATTTTGAGATGACTTTTATTAGTTAGGCACTTGACACTGAAGCAACGACATGTTTTGTATTTTTTATTGAAATTTCCTGCTGACATTCAGGATACTTTTTAATTATAATAATTTTTAAGTCTTTCAGTGAATTTGATGAATTGGTCGTTCGTCAATAAAGTAAATTTTTTATCGTAGACATTTACCTATCATGCAGTTTCTTGCAAATATTGATGCTCCGTCGCTGTTATTAATGTTTAATTCATCGTCGTAATCTCTCTATTTCTATCAGGACCCGTTCGGACTAATTGTTAGGTTTAGTAGAACTATGGAACACTTGAAAAGTTTAACAAGTTGTTTGAATAAACTTTTTTACCGTATTAAAATTACGTTCTTTATCAATATATGACAAGTTTTATGACCATTTCAAGTTTCTACAAGAGAACTTGCCTCGTTGTAGCCGAATTTCTAAATAAAATCCGACTCGCCAAAAATTTGAATAAACTCGTCGAAATCCACTCTCTCGTCTCCCTTCGTGTCGGCCATTTTGATCATTAGATCTATGTCAGACTCGGTATGATCAATGTTGAGCCTGCGTAAAACTCTTTTTATTCCTTGTGCTTCGATGTAGCCTTTCTTCTCCACGTCAAATTCTTGAAATACTCTTTTTAAACGCCGCTCACGCTTTGTTTCGCGGAAAATCTGTTTGGAGAGTCGCTGGAAGCTGTCATAAGAAACCGTCGTGTTTGGTCGGTTGTTTATACCTGTAGAATGAGTCAAAAATCTTGAAATGGAGAGTAGACAACAAACTGTCCTAGAGTCGTTCACACATTGGCACTAATATTCACAGCGTTTCTTTATACATGAAGTTTCATGAAACCTGACACCAATTTCCAAATTATTCATCTATTTCTCTAAAGACACACGCTTTTTTTTCGTTCCTGTGTTTCCACTTCTCGTCTAAAAATGAAATATTTCTAGAAGAAAACCTGAATAAAAATGTAATTTCCAAAGAAATACTGTCATATTTATTCCTCGTCATTTTCTTAGTCTACGGGGCTTCTTATGAGTCGTTCAGACCGTCCAGTACGGTAATTTTGGCTATTGTTTTTATAAGATTTGCAATGGACGCTGCAAGTTAATATCATGAGTCTTAACTTTGAGAATTTTGCAGTCGCGTATTAATTTGAACATGAATATTTAATTTACCTGTGATTCGAAGATGTTCTTTCAGTTCTTCATCGCCTATTTCTTCGCCCAAGTCCTTGAAGACGTGAACAAGGTCTTTCACACTTATAAATCCGTCCGAATCTTTGTCGTAATTGCGAAAGATAACCCTCATATTAACTTGTTTTTGATGGGGAATGCCCGCCATTTTGAAATTCCCAAACTGGATCGCAAGCCAAGGAATTTTCGTGGAAGCGATGACTCGTCGTCGCTCATATAACCAAAGATTTCTTCTTCCACGAGGCTAGTTTAGCTCGCAAAGCAATACACTTTCAACGAGCTGGACATTGTGTTGACGACCTATACTATTGTTAGGAAGACAAAGACTGGCTTCGATCAACTTATTTACATGTAGTCTTATAAAAGAAGATAATTACTCCCCGCTCTAAGGAGGGCTAACTGCGATGATTTCGTCTTTGATCATTAAGTTCCTTTTGTTAAAGAGCTCATAAAAATTAAATCAAGGCTTTGAGCTAGAAAGAGTTTGTGGTAAAACAAAAGATAATTAGACGAAACATAGTCACGTAGACTGACATCAGATATCCCATAATTCGCGCAAATTGCACTAACTTTGCTCAAATGTGTCTGCAAAATAAATTACATTTCTATCAACTCCAACCATGATATTTTCTTTGTGTACAAAATTTCCGCCTTTTATTTCCTTTGATAGTGATGGCTTTATTTTTTGTCTAAACGTCATAACCACCGTTTATCTCTTTATTCGCATTTTAAACCTGAAAATCCGCCCACTTCATAATTCTATAATGTGATATGGTCGGTCATGTGTGGAAAAACCAGTCAATTTGAAAAAAAAAAAAAGCATCAAAATTAAGTTTCTTAGCCCATGAAAGTATTTGGCTCCGGTTGTCCGAGTTAAGACCTGCATTTTAAAAATGCGAAAAAATCAGAAATGTTTTTCCGTTTAGTGGAGACCCGAATTTTTTAGCTCTTGAAACGCTTACAAATGCAACTGCAAATTTTGGTATGTTTTGTCGACTTAATAATTATAGTTGTCTGACACTTCAAACCACGTTTTCCATATAAGGTGTTTTCTTGTAGTGACAGCAATTTTAATGAAAGATTGAGGCGCAAATTGTTCTGAAAACTGTTACAAACCTGTCACAGGCCAACGACAGGTAAAGTGATAAAAAAAGATAAAAAAAACTGACTTTTAGGTATTAAAAAGCAAATTAAAAGCTGGTCTGTTCTCTTTATGAGCCAATTTTTAAGTGAGATGTCTCTTTTTTGTCCACACCTCAACATTTAGGCTGATGTGTGAAAATTAGAAGGAAAATTGAAAGTTGGTTAACCAAAAAACAGTTTGTTGTCTTTGTTGACAAGCCAGCAGGGTTTTGATCGTTTGGTGAAGAAAACTCCGCACCGTGCTCGCTAAAACTTCCGAATTCTCACTGGCTCCTAGCGGTCTTGATGAGTGAGACCTTGTTTGTATTTAGTTGACGTCTTTTCAACAGCTGTTTATTTGGCGGCGCAACACGCGGAAGTTTTTGCCTTTTAGCACTGGCTGAACAGAAAGTTAGATTAAAATAATTTTTAAAAAAAATACGTTTCAACAGTTAGGGCCTAAAATAACAAAACCAAAATCTCTTTTTGTTATCCTGTACATAAAAATGAAATTCGCGCTTGTGCCAGCTTTTTAAAGCAATTATCAGTTTGTTGTCAAAAGTATTCGGGATTGCTCAGTTTTGGGTTGCTTCGCTCTGTGATTGGTTGATAAAACTCGCGCCATTCTCGGAACCAATCAGATTCAAAACTAAACCAATCACGAATTGGTCATCCGCGTTTTCCCGCGCTTCAAGAACGTTTCTTGAGTTCTCTTAGTTCTCATTGGCTCCTTGTGATATTTCCTTTCATCTGATTGGCTGTTGTGAATACTTTGGTTTGGCTTTACGACACTCAATAAAAAAGCGCACCAGGTTCTTTCGCTGTCATTTAATGGGATCGTTGCGTGTTATCCAACAGAATGGCTGCAAAGGAGACCCCTCCTATGTTACTGATCTTTAACTTTTCTAGTTTTTCTTTTGGAAGAGATTTTAGTGTCTTCAACTTTCTCCGAGTTTTGCACCTTACACACGACGTTAAATTTAAAAATTTGGGGCGAGTTCCGTGTAAGATGTCAAAGATGATTGTTTTTGTCAGTATCCCCACTCGCTTTCTTGGCAATCTACTACATTTCTTGGGAGCAATTGTCTCTGATCACACGAAACTAAGAACCCTTCATTCAGACATTCATCATCGTCATAAAATCGTCGTAACCCACGAGCCCATCACCATCGGCGTCAGCGGCTTTTACCATAGCCTCGATTTCGTAATCTTTAAAGTCCTGACCGAGGAGCTTGAAGACTCGGTCGAGTTCAGCGACTCCAATAAAACCGCTGCCATCTCGGTCGAAAACCTTGAAGGACTCGCGTAGAATGTCTTCAGGATCGCAATCATCTAGGTTTTTCGACATAAGCGCGAGGAATTCGGGGAAGTCGATAGCACCATTTCCGTCTGCATCTAAATAACAGAGAGAAACTGAACTTACTTTTGGTCACCAAGTGATTGGCTTTTTGTATTGTAAAGCCAAATATTTCTTCCCAGCCTCCTCGTTCAACCTTTCTGCCAGGCAAATTCTTCCCCCCCCCACTACCCCTGGGTAATTCTATTCTCACCTATTTGGTTCATCATATCCATGAGTTCCGCCTCTGTTATGTTGTACCCAAGGGAAGTTACCAATTTCTTCAGCTCTGTTGCTGTGATACAACCATCACCATTGGTGTCAAACACATGAAAAGCTTCTTTGACTTCACGAATTTGATCAGGAGTCAGTTTTGAAGATTTCAAGGCCTCCTCTTCCTTTTTAGATACATTTTTGACATCATTATTGTTTTTTTTAGCTGACAAATGCTTGTCTTTGTCCAGAGGTTTGTTTAAGTCCGGGTTATCGTCGTCATCGGCGAAGATGTATTCGTCGTCGGAAATCGAATACCGATCACTTCCCGATTCGTCCTCGCTCAAAGCCGAAGTCGAAGATTTAGTAGGTTTAAGCGACAGAAATCGTCTCAACAACTCGCCGTTCTCTGTGCTACTGCTTGGACTTTTTTCCTCGCTCGTCTTTGCGTCAACTGAAAGTGCAGCATTCTCTTAAAAAAAAACAAAATTAAGAGATCTAATAAACGTTTATGTACTTTTTGTGGCTTCTCACCTTAGAACTGAAGCGCGCATTGTGAATCTTGTTTAATCTTTTACTGTCAGATAGTGTTGAAATCTTGTCTTAATAATACAAATTGTACCAAAACCAAATATCTTCGCACTTGGAACAAACGAAGTTTCCATCTCCATTGAGTACAAAGTAACAAACTTCACAACTGAACGATAGTATAGCAATTAATTGTGTTAGGTTTAGAGAAATGATATCACTAAATACCTTGCGCTGCAAATGGTCTGAAAATTCTTATTTATGTGAAATACACTGCTTGTCAGTTCTCAATTATTTGATTGACTGAAAAAGACAGGAAACGCCAATATTTCTCGCGTTTAACGAACTTAAAAGTTTGTTTCTAAATACATAGATCTTGAAATTTGTCCAACCGTAACTGATGGCGCGTTGATCAGTGTTTAGAGTTTAGCTATTACATAGCACGTTTGGTTCTCTATTTAATTGTTTTGTTTTCTTTCGCGTTTGTCATCGGCTTGAGGATTTAGAAATTCCACTGTTGATACCCAATAGTAATTAAAAAAAGAAACTAAAACTTCCTTAAAAGATAAGGGCCTTCTGTTCATAAAGCGTGAAGTTAACTTGACTAACTCCCAATGAGGATTTGAAATGATTCATTTAGGACACAATAAATATCCCTCCCCGAATAGAAACAAAACAGTACAGCTTGGCAATCTTTTGATGTTAGCGTAGCTCGGATTTTAGCATGTGAAAATCGTACCCTCTGGGCAGGTTTAAGTTGTTTCCAAGATTCGTTATTCTTTGTTCATGGCGAATTAAGCTCGGGTTTGTTTATTTTAAACGTATGTTGTGATCTAAAGTGGCTTACCGGCACTTTCCACTCCTCTCGCTGAGTTCTTCTCGACTTCTGGTTCTTCCGCGATCGAGGTACAACGGCGACGTAACATTATAGCTTGGAAGTGTTAAAAAAACCGAAATCTTTCTCTTTCCGCAAACTATCCAGTTGACTTCTGCTCGTTCTCAAGTATTTTGTTTATCTCTTTGTCATCTTTGCATGTCTTTGCTGCCTGGTTTCAAAGGTGCGGTGTACGCTAAATAATCCTGGTTCTCGATTTCTCTCGTTCACGTTTGGTTACTGAAATTTAGTAATTTGCGTGTGTCGCGTTAATATTTAATCCCCGTGTCATTAACCGTCAAAGTGCCGCCAATATATGCGTGTACGGCGCAATTACAGTGTAATTATCAGTGAAAAGACTTTCCTAAATTCCACTATTGTCACGTTTGACTTTCGCTGCATATTGCTTTGATTCGATTACGCTAAAAAGGTTGAAAACATCCTAATATCGAAGTGTTCAAGCATCTTGCTGTTGCATTAATGGGTCATCTTTTAGTAATCAGTGAATTTAGAATATTTCATGGTTTAATCGATCTTAGATGTTTCATGGTCTTTTCAGATGCAAATTTAAAAGGGGCAGTCGGTCTTTGTTTTCAATTATGGCACAATCTTAGATCTTGGCATGATCTTTCAAAGTAGAGGTGGCATGAAGTATAATCCAGTCATAACGTCTGGCTTTCTGTTTTGTTCTTTTTTTTTTTTTTTTTTTTTAAGTTGCTAGGCATGTAATTACATGAATGAAGGGGGTAACTGTGGTGCTGCGTCGGTGGGAGAGTTTAACAGGGTAATTTAGTGTTATCAACTGATTTTGATAACGTAAATTGGCCACCGTAGAGAGTTTAAAGGCCGACGTTTCGAGCGTTAGCTTTTCGTCAATCGCTCTGACGAAGGGCTAACGCGCGAAACGTCAGACCATGTAATTACCATGTAATTACATGGTCTGGTTCAACTTCTAAACTCTTTTGCGTGATATGTCTGCGGAAGAGCGGGAAGCAGCTTTTTTTAGAACGCGAAAATTGAACCCCGACAACACGTTATCGAACCTTCATCGAGTGATTTTCGATTTTGGTCATCCAATCAGATCGGAGGAAAGAGCTCGAGAAGTCGTCGGGTCGACGACAGTTTTGTCCGATCGAAGTTACGTCATAATGTTATGCACTTCGCTGACCCAAATCGAACTCGCAAGCTCGTTGGATGTCAGGGAAAGTCTATCCTATATCCTCTTACTCCTTTAATCAAGATATCAATTCTCTGCGCTGTTTTCCATGCATCTCTTATAATTTTAGTTATGAGAAATTAATGCTCAATCAAACAATATCCGCTAGTCGATATTTATCCTCCTCGCCACCTGTTTTGCTTGAAAATTAAAAGGGATAATCTTCGGCTTTTGTTAAATTTTCATTTCTGTTGTTCCTATTACAGATTTTGCTTAAAACAAAGGACCTGGTTCAAAATGTAAGTAATCTTGGTGTAGAAACGTGTTGTGTGTTTCTTGCGACAGCAATTCAAACCTTATTTTGAGCTGTTATTGTTGCATGTTTGTTAGAAAGTGATATGAGTGATTTCACGATAAGTAAACGCGCCTGCTGTTGGTAAAGTGAAGGAAAATTTTTCATAGAGAAAATCGAGAAAGAGCAGAGCAATTCATTATCGATAAACATTCGTGGGTTGTAAGCCACCAACGTACTCATGCAAGCAAATAAGATCCAGAATTTCGCACAACGCACGGACTTGTAACATGCTAAGGACGCGAAATATGATAAATGTGATTTTACAATGAATTTAACTGGCCGCTCGAAAAGATCTACGTTTTACACTATTGTAGGTAACTTCGTACGTTTAGAGTGTCACAGACACTTAGAAGAGGAGAAAATTTAATATTTACTTTTTTTTTTAATTCTGTCAGTTGGGTCTTGATGTGATTTACGGAGACACAGACTCAATCATGATCAACACAAACACGACAGACCTGGTAGAAGTACGCAAGATCGGAAACAAGGTATGCAATTAACATGTAACTCTCTTTGCCATATCAACCATTAATGAGAACTTACACACTTAACAACTTGCAAAGGGGAATGAGTTACGTGGTTTTTAGGGATGTTACGAAGGAAGAAGGCAACACAGTGCTTTTTACAGTCGGAATCAGTTTGTTTTGAAAACTTTAATCAACTGATACCGGTTTTATTGGTTAACTTTCGTTTTCCTTTAAGGTGAAAAATGAGGTCAACAAGCTTTATCGGTTATTGGAGATCGACATTGATGGTATATTTAAGTCCATGCTGTTACTGAAGAAGAAAAAGTGAGTAGTCTGTCTTTACATCAGTTTGTCTGTCCTTCTGTCTGTCTGTTCGTCTGTCTATACATCAGTCAGTCTGTCCGTCTGTCTGCCCGTTCGTCTGTCCGTTCGTTCCTCAATTTGAACTTTCGTCTGCCTGTCCATCTTTCTGTCTGTCCGTCTGTCTACCCGCCCGTTCGTCTGTCAGTCTGTTTGTCTGTCCCGCGTTCGTTCCTCAATTTGAACTTTCGTTTTTTCCCTACATCAGTTTGTCTATTCGTCTGTTCGTTTGTCCCTCTATTTGTACGTCCGTCTGTCCGTCTATCTGTCTGTCTGTCTCTGCCTTGGACGTGCCACTGAAGTGTAGAATGATGTATCCAAGTGTGTAAGTGCATTATTTTATGCTCTAATTCCTTTATTCTTTCTCTCAAGGTACGCTGCAATCAGTATTTCAGAGAATGAGGATGGTAAGACGGTTTTCAATGATAAGATTTTATTTAGATCCCAGACGTCAAAAAACAAACAAGACGACAAAAAAATGTGTTTGGTGCGGATGGTCAAGTGTTCGACTTAAAATTGGTAATTTTGGACGCGCCTTGACACCCTGTTTAAATAATTCATCCCAATGATGTTTGAAAAAGGTCATCTCACAAGTCTGTGTGATCTCTAAGAGAGTTTCTCAATGAATAATGTCATCAAAAATCTCGTAAGATATAAAGAGTCTCAAAAGAGTGGGCCAACGAATTGTGGCGATACCAATATCACATGAAATTTCCACTCAAACGACACGACATCGCCAAATTTAACTTTCAGGAACATTGAATGAAATCAAGGAGATGAAAGGTTTGGACATTGTGCGGAGGGACTGGTGCGATCTCGCGAAGGATTCTGGGAAGTAAGTGACTCCATGGTCGGCAAATTAAGAAGCTAACAATGAGATGATAGAATGATAACTGTAACGAAATGTTTCGTTGTGATTTGATTATAGCTACGTTCTGGCTCAGATCTTGTCATCACAACCCCGTGAAACGATTGTGGAGAATATTCACGACTATCTTATATCAGGTACTGTATGGCCGCTGGTCAAGAAAACTCATTGAATGTTCAGGTCAAGAATGTAAATAAGTTGGATTATATTTTACTATTGTTGTAAAGCAGTTGCCTTGAGGGATTTTTTTCTTCCTTTTCTTCAGTTGGAGAGAATGTTGCCGAGGGCAAAGTGGACATTCAGAAGTATATCATAAACAAGGTTTGAAATTTGTTTGTTTAACAGTTTCTCTACAGACACTAGATATAAACGGGCAAGGAAGTAGGGGAATGAGTTAATCAGAACCTGATGTGTAAACAATGTTAAGTGGGGGAACAGTGCTTACCGTGAGGGCGGGAAAATATGGAATCCGCGTCATGCGCCCGCGAAAATAGAAACGGTGAAATGGCGGGAAACACGCGAGCATTTTCAGTCGCATGAAACTTATCCCCATCCACATCGAGGAAAACGGTCTGTAATCACCGAAAAATAAATGTTTCCAATAATCATTTGTAGAGTCCTTCACTTTGAACTTATCAATATTTCTTTTTACAGCAATTGACTAAATCTCCCCATGACTACCCTGACAAGAAGTCGCTCGCTCATGTCAATGTGGCCTTGCGGATGCTTAGTAAGGGAAGAAAAGTCAACGCTGGCGATACCATACCCTATGTCATTTGTGAAGTAAGTAAATCAATTTTTTCTCATCAGTTTGGGAAAACAGACTCCTACCAAGATTTTTGTTACAGGAGCGCTTTTTCTTAATGTGTCCTAAGGGCAGAACCAAAGTAACGGTCCAAGCCAATCAGAGAAAAGCTGAACATCACAGAGAACCAATCAGGACTTGAAGTAAACGTAAGCGCGGGAAAATGTCGGTTAGCATCTGATTGGTTGAGAGGGTGATGCGAATTTTCTAAACCAATTACAAAGCAAAGCGAAACAAAACCGATCTGACTATGGTTTGCCTTCGATATTCAATTGGACTTGTCTTATTTAGTACATGGGTATTTGAGAGTTCTTTTTATTTGTTTTATTTACAAATTTTTCGTTTTTTCATAGGATGGCTCGTCGCTGGCTGCCACTCAACGTGCCTACCATCCTGATGAATTCTGCAAGTCTGATACACTGAAAATCGGTATCTTTTGAAATACAAACTTCGTAGAAGTGACAAAATTTTATTACTGAACATTTGTTGGCCATTTTTTTCATGCCATCAAAATATTCATTTTAGAACAGAACCACAGTGCACTAAAATTCATTGGTTGCAAAAGGCGTTGTGGGATGTGGGACAGTTTGTGTCACTCTTTTTCAGTCACCTGTTTCTTCTCTTCTTCTTTGCTAACCGTTTTCAACTGAACGTGCGTCGTTCGCCACCATCATGGGATTTAGTTGTCTGATTATTTTATATATTTTACTCATATCTTTTATCATGGGCCCTTTTCTTTTAACGACTTTAAACTGCAGACGTGAAGTATTATCTGGCAAATCAGGTTCACCCTGTTGTGTCTCGTTTGTGTGATCCTATCGACGGCACGGACGCCGCTCACATCGCACAGTGTCTAGGTAAGTCGGTAATCGGTTCAAAGTAGTATAATTATCATTGATACGGACTATATCCTAAGGTCGTTCCCAGGGTCCTCTCTCTCCCTCCCTCGAGGAAGTATGAAAAAATAACCTGGGAACTAAGGCTAACTTTCTCACGGTATTGTTTTGGTCCATATTTTAAGCGCTGCTTCGGAAATATGTGGCACACGAATAGCGCTTATTTTCCTATTGGCTTGG